GTTTTTGTCCGTCGTCGTGCGTCGTCCGTCGTGCGTTAACATTTAAACATTTTCAGCTTCTTCTCTGAAACCGCTCAACCAATTTCAACCAATTTTGGCATATAGCATCTGAGGGTGAAGGGGGACAAAAATTGTGAATTTCATGGTCCCTGCCCCCCTGGAGCCTGAGGGGTGGGGCTAAAACCACCAAAATTAATGCAATCTTTAAAAATCTTCTTTACTCCTTGACATCAAGCAGTCAAACTGTTGACATGATTGTAATAAGCATTGAGCCCTCTACCAAAATTGTGAAATTCATGGCCCCAGGGTCAGGGGTTCTGGTGCTAGGGTGGGGCTATATAGATCATATAGTGAAAGTGCACTATTTCTTTGAAAATCTTCTTATCTACTCCTGGGTATTATTGAAACAAATTGAATACATAGTTATGATAAGCAAGGGTGCCTCTACCAAAATTGTGAAACTCATGGCCCCAGGGTCAGGGGTTCTGGTGCTAGGGCGGGGCTATATAGATCATATAGTGAAAGTGCACTATTTCTTTGAAAATCTTCTTCTCAACTCCTTGGTTTTATTGAAACAAATTGAATACATAGTTATGATAAGCAAGGGTGACTCTACCAAAATTGTGAAATTCATAGCCCCAGGGTCAGGGGTTCTGGTGCTAGGGCGGGGCTATATAGATCATATAGTGAAAGTGCATTATTTCTTTGAAAATCTTCTTATCTACTCCTGGGTATTATTGAAACAAATTAAATACATAGTTATGATAAGCAAGGATGCCTCTTCCAAAATTGTGAATTTCATGGCCCCTGGATCAGGGGTTCTGGTGTTAGGGTGGGGCTCTATTTATTATATAGTGAAAATGCATTAATGCTTTAAAAATCTTCTTCTCTGCTCCTTGGTATTATTTAAACAAATTAAGTACATTGTTATGATAAGCAAGGATGCCTCTTCCAAAATTGTGAAATTCATGGCCCCAGGGACAGGGGTTCTGGTGCTAGGGCGGGGCCATATAGATCCTATAGTGAAGGTGAATTATTTCTTTAAAACTCTTCTTCTCTGCCCCTGGGTATTATTTAAACAAACTAAGTACATTGTTATGATATGCAAGGATGCCTCTTCCAAAATTGAGAAGTTCATGGCCCTAGGGTCAAGGGTTCTGGTGAAAAAAAGGGGGGGGGCTCTATTGATTATATAGTGAAAAAGCAAAATTTCTCTGAAAATATTCTTTTCTGCTTCTGGTTAAAAAGCGAAGAAGCTAGTGTATAGTTATGATGAGCAAGAGTGCTTCTTCCAGAGTAGTAAATTGCATGACCCCTGGGTCAGATGTGCTGGTGTGAGGGTGGGGCTCTTGATAATATAGTGAAAATGCATTAATTCTATTAAATAATCCTGTCTGCTCCTCAGTATTAAGCAGATAAACAAAGTGATTACTTATGATGTGCAAACTTCTGGTCCCAGGGTGAGAGGTTCTGGTGTTTCTTGATTGGGGGGGGGGGGGGGGGGGCTCTATTGATAATATAGTGAATCTGTAGTAAAAATGCATTATTTCTTTAAAAATCTTCTCTGCACCTGGGCATATCAAAGGCAAAAAGAGTAAAAGTTTTAGTAAGGAAGGGTATTTTTACTAGATATTTGAACATCTGGACCATTTAGTCAAGTGTTCTGGTCCTAGCTAGGGCACTATTAATTTGTATTCTACTGAGAGGAGTTATTCCCCTTTGCCATTTACTTGTGATAATTAATCACTGTAAATAATGTACTTGAAAGATTAATAGAATAAGAGAATTATGCAAGAATTTTTATTGTATAATACAAAAAGTACTTTCATAGTTTTAATGATCAGGTAGACTTGTAAGTAATAGATAAATAAAAATGAGACAAAAATAACTTGTCTTATTAAATGTTCATCAAAGATCAAGAGAGGCCAATGTAAGAGATTTCAACAAGGAACTAAGATAGTACAGAAGCAGTGATAGTTTGTTAATTTACTGTATGGTGATAGTGTTAAATGGGGTACAGATTAGAACCTAATTTATGAACTGTTAATGAATGCTAGACTAATTATTTTTTTGATCCTGATCACTCTATTTTTCTTGCTTTTGGGCAACAAAGCTTCACCTTTCAGTTCATTTTATACTCTATGGATCCTCTAAATTGTTGTTTTATACTCAGATGACCGTTAAGGCCCTTGGGTCTCTTGTTTTATATATATACTCTGCCACAGACAGGCTTAAACAATTTGAAAATGAATATAATAAAATATGTTAAAAACCTGCATGGTATTTATTAATCATACTTGTTTTCTAAAATGCATAGCTTTCCATTCTCATATCCAAACTGTTGAATCAAAATTACTAATTTAATACAAAAAAATTATATAATTTCTGTTTTGAATTGAAGTAACTGGATGTTAAGCACTTACATGTACCAGTAATTTTTTGGTTTGAAAACTTAAGTTGTTTTAAATACTTGGAAAGCTTTCAAGTCAACAATAAAAGAACAAGCGCGATCAGTTGTTTAATTAAACGTTTTCGTCTGAAATAGTGATTGTATGCACTTCTGTGGTTAACGACCATATCTCAAATTAATATGTGTCAAACATATTAATTTATGTAAAGTCGATATGAATGAAAGAAATATGACGATTGGGTGCAATTATTGTTGTATTACACCGCATTAAGGATATTCAAAAGTGATCATTTAACACATATCAAACGCTTGTTTGCTATATGCCGTAGAATATAATCTTTTTGGGCAAATCTAAATGGGTAATTCAATATTTGGAATATTTGGTCTGAAAATGTACTAAAAGCACACCAAGAAAGGTATAAAAATAAACTTCTAACGGACAAATAAAGTCACGCACACCAAACCTGCATACAGGACTAGACAAAATAATGCGAATTTCTTAAATCAAAGATATTTTTCTATAATTGCGGTGTAAGTGGCTTCACACATCGATAATATCATCTGCGGCGACAATTGTCGAAAAATAAAGACAAACAATTAACATCCGGCGAGAGTGAATCATGAGATGAACGTGTCACTTTAATAAATGGTAAATTTCACTAAGCCTATTGGTTTAAAATAATTACTGGATAGCTTGCAGTATTGTCCTTGCGCATTTCTTTGATTAAAGGCAAACTCTGTTGTGTAGGAGTTATTAGCATTATTGTGTTTACCTATAACAATTACTTGCTGTTGTACTCAAAAATCAATTGATTCTGTATTTATGAGATCACTCCAAGGTTCTGAATGTCTTGGAAGAAGAAAGTATCCATTGCAAGTAACAAAGCATTCCACAAATACAAAGATAATTCTAATAGATTCAGCATTATTGAAATTCTGACCTTCCTACATACTGTATTACTTTATTCGTTCCAGGTCAGCAAAGTCAATAGATTTTCGAAGAGAAAACTTTTTTATTATATTATGTATAAATTTATAACTTTAATGATGCAAAAATGAAGAAAGAACACTTTAGCAAATAATTTATCACATTAAAGGAAAATATGTTTATGAGATGACGCTACGTTTTAGGTGTTCTTAATTTGAAAACCCTTTATAGCTTCATTATTTATCCTGATGTAAAACTTATTTGGGACATTTGCAACGTATTTTCCAACTTATATTTCTCCTGAAATTGAAGAGTCTCAATACGTGAAGGACATCTATATGATAATTATGATGCCGTACACTACAAATTTTTCAGAAAATACCAGCTTAAATGATGTGTATGGTCATTTTTATATATTTTCATTTAAAATTACAGATTTTCCTACATTACCTTTTCAAAACCCCTTGTAAAGTATGTCAGGTATGCTGTTGTATAAAATATAGAATATCTTGAAAGATTATCAAAAGCTTAGGTACGTTGCGTATTACTTTGATGTTTTGTATATTTCTGCCTCCTATTTTGTGCTTAAAGAGGGTGAATATATCTAAATTCATTTTAGAAAACTCTTACCAATTTTTTTTCTTAGATAAATGTAGCATATCCTGTATCGTGAAAGTTAATAAAACTTAAAATTCTCTTCTAAAAATTACAAAATGAAATGGAATTTTATTAATCTTTAATATATGTATTTTAATTTACCAGAAAAAGGTGCTTACTATATTCCATTGGTATTGTTTTCTCCCCGAAAGCCTGCAAGCCACGCTCCGGTCCTAAAAGAGATAATCTTAAAACCGATAAGGAATAAACATTTGACATTTGAAGGCTTGTGAAGGGTACAAAAAAACTCTCTCTTATATGTTTGCTCAAGTATAAAAATCACACGCATGATCTGAATGAAATCAGTCTAATTTATTGACAGTTACTTGAATAAAAACAAAACGGGTTTTAAAAGGTATGTTGATATGTAAAGTTGAAATATAACAATTAGTCAAGCAAATTTCTGATAGCAAATAATACTGCTTATATTATGAAAAGATGTACAGGTGTATGGTATTGAGGCAAGTGAGAGTTTTATTATTGTAACAGTCCAATTTACCGTTTAAATTGTTTGTCGGCATTAATTCCAATAAAACTACAAGACTGTTAACTACTGCTTATAGTTTCAAGTGTTTTGTAATAGGTAGGTAGACATGGTGAGATTTCATCCAGTTTATTTGTGAACATATCAATATATGCATGTGCAACCAAATTTTTAGTGTAATACAAGAAAATGAGAGACCTAGAAATAATGAAAAATATCTGAATTCAAAAATAATTTACATATTTCAAATAGGAGTCGTTTATTCTTCGAAAAGCATTTAGACATTTGCAAAGCAATCTGCCCACAAAAGCTCAAAACGTAAGTCTGTTGTCAAATTTTTTCCCCAATAAATCAAAAAGCAGGAAGACCCGCCCTCTAGAAGTGTAACCGGACACCAGTACGGTAAGGTGCAGAACAGACTGCCATTGGTTCTGCAAGATTTCTTTTGTTGACACCAATATAAAAATTTAAAACTTCCTCAGCAATATACAGAACTTGCAGTGATATAGACTATCAACATAATGGAATTCATTAAAACCTATCAAATTTGTCCAAATCAACGAATAAGACCAATGCTTTCCATCGTCCATTCGGCACAAGGAGCAATTTGGAACAGAAACATTGAAGAATTCACTGGAACTTGCAAATCTCCATCTCCGAGTGAGAGCATTAAAAGTCCATGCTTTTCACCGAGAGACAATGGTTGCAAACCCTCCACGAAGAAGACTTCTTTTATGATAAGTGATATTTTATCGACGAGGGAAAGAGATGACGACAATGACGTCGACAATTTATCTGAGACTGCCTCAAACGGAGAAACGGATGAGGATCTACACTCCCCAGTATCAGAAACCTGCTGTTCACCAGGTATGCAAAGGGACTCTGTAATTCCGAGAATAAAATTATCATTTGCTAAGATCGAAATTTTTTTTATATCTTTATAAAACGAAAAATAGATATTATATGATTCTACAGTATATACTCAAGGAAACTGAGTTCATCCATTTTAAACATTATAATATCAGTGCAATTTATTACTTTTAAAACAAAGGTTTCATCATTTATTGAAGTATGACAGCCCATTATTACTTTTACAGACTCTTCTCGAAGATATCCGGGCCTGGACACGGTGTCTAAAATAAAGAAACCACGGAAAGCTAGAACTGCCTTCACCGATCACCAGCTCAACAGCTTAGAGAAGCAATTTGCTAGACAGAAGTATCTCAGTGTTCAGGACAGAATGGAACTTGCTACAAAATTAGGACTCTCTGACACGCAAGTCAAGACATGGTACCAAAATAGAAGGTGGGTTGTCAAGACAATTCAGTATTCTTATCTATTTTTGCATTATATATATAAATATAAAAAAACATCAGTATTTTTTATTTATTAGAAAACGTTAAGCTCAACAGCAAGTTATGTTAGTTACTTACATAATAGTTTTTATTTTTTCATTAAATATTTTTTGGTCTTATTTTCAGAACAAAATGGAAGAGACAGACCTCAGTAAGTTTAGAACTATTGGCTGAAGCAAACCTGGCAAACGCCCACAGAATGATGGGACCATATTTTGGTGTATATTCAGAGCATGCATCCTCTTATGCAGACTTGTTTCATAAACAATCACCCGCTCTTATTGTACCAAGACCACTTCTTCCACAAATGTATAGCTATTAGTTAATGATTTTTTGTCCAGACTATATATCTTTTATATTTGTAATTAATACATGTAAATTACAAAATGAAATGTGTGTTAATTATGCACATTTATTATAAAAAGTGTTTTGTTTCTTTTTTGCAATTTATGATGCAGGGAAAAAAATCAAAAAATAAAACTACAGAAATAAATTTCATAACCAGTTGAAATTTGTAAGTGCTTGCGATCAAAATAATTAATTTTTAATGTTTGAAGAAATCTGATCTTAAACGGGAGTGAAATATTTCTTATATTTTTAGTCTATATATCTTTCTTATATACCAAAGGTATCCAAAATATGACAAAATAAGCACTGATTAGAAAATACTTATATGAATTTCATCGTTGATTTTAAGGTTCTTTAACCTTCTGGCAACCGGTATTCCATCGGATAAATTTAAAGTATGCCGGATTTGTTATTTTATCGTCATCTTCATTAATAGTTGCTTACACATGCACTTTTAACACAAAAGTGACCGGATTTTTTATTGTAGTCTTCATTAATAGTTGCTTACACATGCACTTTTAACACAAAAGTGGCGAATTTGCTTGTTAGCGATATAGAAGGATACGAAAAAAGATGAAAATGAGTAGTTTGAAGTCTTAAATTTTTCCTTCCGTCTTCATTGTGAATGTATGTTACAGGTGTAACTTTGAAACGTTTCTTTTTTTAAATTTAAATAACTGTAGAAAAAATATACTTTCAAAACTTTCCTTTTCTGAATATTAGTAACAGGACCGTAGTCCTAGACGATTGCAAGGTCGAAAGCAATCTTTGTTTTTGTTGTTCATCTTTATATAAACAAAATTTCATTTCATGATTTGTAACGATTGTGTTGTGACAACTTTGCTCACAGGGGTATATATAATGTAAATTTTCAAAGACAGACATGAAGATCACAATTTAATAAGTAGAAGCAAATTCTAAGAATAATTTTGGAAGCTAAGTATGTTCTCAATATAATTATGTATAATTAAAAATCTTTAAAAAGAAAATGAAAAAGATTGTTCACTTAATTATTAAAGAGAGATGATACAAGCAAACAATTTAAAAAAAAAAAAAACCCATAGAAATAACAATTTAGTCATGTTTGTATAAGTAAGATAAATAAGTTAAACCATATAGATGTTAATTTTCATTCAAAATTTCACATTAATGTCCTATAACTTGATAAAAATTGTACAAATTTAAAAGGGTGATTGCAGAAAGGTAGAATTTTGAACATCATAGAAAGTTTACGATTTCTTAATATTATTTGTAATTTGCATCATTATGAACCAAAATAGGTTCAAAAATATATACCAATCCATGCATTCATTTTTTGTTTGTATCATCTGTCCTTAAGACAGGGTAAATTTTCACATTAAGTGCCAGTAAAATGAATTGGTGTATATGCTTGTAAAAAGTAGAAACGACTTTCTTTTAAAAGTGCTTTATAAACGAGCTGGGCATTTGTTCAAGAATATTCTTTTGTTCAATGTCAAATATAGAGGTCGCAATTAAGTTCATAAGTAGAAGTAAATTTTAAGAATAATTGTGTAGGATAAGCAATTTTCAATTTCTTTATAACGACCTTCCTAACAAATATATCCTATCATTGGGTCGTATTATGGATGACGTGTTTAAAAGCAATTGTTAGGTCTTTGTTTTTATACTAAACTTGACTACGGAATGTTCGTTTATCTAATCAATGCATAGGGCTCACGGTGGGTGTGACTGGTCAACTTACTCCTCCTAGGCACCTGATCCCACCTCTGGAATTTCCGCGGTTCGTGTTTTTTGCCTTGTTCACAGATTTGTATTATTTGTAAATGTTTTGAGATCAATTATGTTCGTTATCTTCACCTTTTTCATTCATTGTTAATAGTTTTCCGTTTAATAGGAGTATCAATATTGACTTAAAAATATGATCTTGTGCAAAAGAGAAATATAATTATTTAAGTTTTTCTTTTGTAATATAGAATGACCGCCTGTTACTAAAAAGGGAGAAAACTCTAAGTGCTTCTTTTTCTTACTTCTGGTCAACGGAACAAGTAATCTATTCTCTACTATAGAACTTGATTACACAGATTCATTTACATGAATCTGTCAGAATTGTTTGTATAGGAAAAAAGGAAATACCTGCTTTCTGGGTTGCTTAAAATTTCATTGTTTTGATTTTTATATCTTTAAAAATCTTTTTAAATTTTTCTGTAAAATCAAAAGTGAACGGCAGTTATTCAGATGATCTGATTTCTCTTCAGAATAAAGCAAACAACAAATAAATAAACAGATGGTATTTAGGATTCTGCATCCATATTTTGGCGTCAGATCGGCTCGAGCCCAGACCTTTAATTATAGGGGCATTTCGGTAAAGTTTACAGATAACATCGATGGTGTTCATTTTTTAATCACTTGTCGATGACAAAAACGATATCGTTTAGAAAAACTGAATTCTTTTACAAAAGTTAAGATACAAACAATTAGGTAACTGACGTCTAAATGCCACTTAGTTAGTGATTTTCTAGCGCAGTGCTCATGGACACATGAACACTGTTAACACCTAGTATAAACACACAAAACTGCAAACCTTTCTAATATCCTTTTAATATGCTGTGTGTATTTTCACGGCCATTTGAAAATATAATTGCGCTCTGGCATGCATGACCTTTAACCAAAGATTTGCACCTCAAAACATTTACTGTCAAATTTTTTTTATAACATATTATTGACTTTAACATCAAATACGTTTTCATTGTATTTATAATTGAATATCAATGTAAATGTTCAGAGTGCAACATATTCTTTATTTCATTTCTTTAATCAAATGATCAAGCTTCTACATATATGATTTATTTCTCTTTCTTTGAAAAAAAGATACAAACGTTTAAAACATTCATTTCGTAATATTATACGGTAGAGCGCTCGCTCCGTGATCGGAGGTCGTGGGTTCGAGCCCCAGCCGAGACTGACCTAAGTTGATAAAGAATAGGTAGCAAATCTTCCTTCGCTAAGCACTCGGCACATTGAAGTGAAAGTTGCGGGTCATTCGGATGAGACCTTAAAAACCGAGGCCCCATGTCACGGCAGGCGTTGGCACGATAAAGATCCCTCACTGCTCAATGGCCCTGAGTGCTGAGTAAAGGTCTAAATTTGAAAGCCCTTCACCGGTATATGGAGACGTCCCTATATGAGTGAAAAATTCTCGAACGGGCCGTAAAACAATATACAATCAATCAATCGTAATATTATATTTTGTTTAAATTTTTTTAAATGTTTTAATCTATCTTTTTTTCACTTTATTTATTTAGTTGTTTACCTATTTATCTTAAATTTTCTTTTAACGATTTTGGAGAGAGAAAATTGAAGAGGTTTAAGATACAAGAAAGGGAATGGCCGATATCTGTCATGCTTTTTACTGGGTTTTAATTCTGGTTTCAGTGTTACCTTTGAAGCTCAATACTTAGGGTTCCTTTTATACCCCTTTTATGATGCTCGATTAAATGTTTAGAGAGCAAATGTGGTGGTTAAATACCATATCATGTTTTACAATTATTTAATATGGAGGATATGAAAATGTTTAACATCACTCGTGTATAGCAATAAAGTGTAAGTGAATTTAATATCCACAATAATGATGTGAAATTTGAAGGTGTTATTCAGTAATATCCGTATTTTTAGTCAAATTTTATTTGATTTTCATCGTTTAAAATATAATGTGATACTGCTAATGCATAAGGGATGAACAATATTATCTGTCAAATTTGTACAAAGTAATGTCCTTCTTGCATACCATCACATCTTGGTTCATGGTAAACTTAATCTGCAATAATGACATGCATGAAAAATTGACATCGTGCAATTCATGTTATAATAAAATTTAAAGGTATATTTAAGTAAGGAAAACAGGTACCTGCATGTGTTGGAAACTGACTTTCTTAACCGTAATAAATCCTAAAAGTCGGTCATTAGGATATAGAAAACGTGAACCATAAAAAAACTGTTGTTTTTAAATCTAAATTTCAATTTATTTTTGGTTTTTTTTCCTTATAAAGGCCAAAGAGGTTTTGTTTGTTACATGTATAAACATTTAAAAATTATATCAAATAGATCGTCATTAAGCTGTCAAAGAGAATATAATATGACCTCAGAAAAACACAAATTGTCAATATTTTAAGTGTTTTTTTTTTTTATTAAAATATTCATTGCATACACCTGAACTAAAAGGAAGCAATTTGAAGTCCTTAAAAACTCTCTTTATAAATAATTGATAATTTACGGTATTTTAATTATATAATTATGTTTTTTTTTTTTTATCTATGACTAGCAATTCAATATACTTTACCCAATTGAGACTCAATTACTCTACTTTGAAAATCCTTTTAAAGTACATTAAAACTTTACAATCACAAGAATTATAATAGTTGATAGCATGAACGACTTGTCAAACATACAAAGAAAAAATAAATTATGCCGTAGATATTTATAATTTTCATTTAAGCACCTAAATTGTCTCGACATCTTTAAAAGAAAGTACACGAAATTCTACAAATCATTGAAAAGTGTTATATTAATCCCAAATAATTTTGTAAAATACAAGCCCATAAAAAGATTAATTAATAAAATAAAGAAATTTAGGCATACTGACTTGCACATGTAGATTTATACTTTTTTAATAGAAAAAAAGAAAGAAATCAAAATCTACTTGATATAATCAAAGTAAAATTACAGTAAACTCTTCGATTATATTGTTCATTGTGCTAATCAGTAATTGGAATTATAACAAGAATACGTTTAAAAATATCCTTGATTTCGCAAGTAGACAATTCCTACCATTGCATAATGATCAGGAATCTTCTGAACACGAAATATTTTCCATGAAACCTCATTTGCTGTATCACGTGCTTACACATGTATGAGTGCTGACATTTTTTTTTGACATATACATAACAGTGATTGATATAATTCATTCGCTTAAAATACTTTTGAAAATGTTTACGTCAAATATTATTATGTTGTCAAAATAATCTAATAGGGATAAAATGTATATTATTTTCTTATTTATCTATGATCTTTTTATGATATCAATTAGTCTGTTAGAAAGAGTAAATAAGGATTCATTAGCCAATTATCGAAGTCTTTGACGACTGGTGTACTTCAAAACCAGGTCAATTTTACATATATGTCTAATTCACTCTTTTTTCACTTAAGATTGTTTGAAATGAAAACCGAAGGATCTTTTGTCGGAAGTACCAATATATATAATTTACTTATGTCTCTATCTTGAGCAAAGCAGATGGTATAACTTATAGAAACTCAGTTCAACAAATAGCATAACATTGTGTAGCATCCCTTAACACATAATGAACTACGGATGTTTTTGAATTATTATTAGAAGTAAACCCACGAAAAGGGTAAAGATAACAAACAGTGATCGATCTGAAAAAAATCTACAAACAATACAAATCTGTGAACAGGGCTAAAAACACTGACCCCTGGAAATTTCAAAGGTGGAATCAGATACCAAGGAGGACAAGTATCCCCTGTCGACCGGTCACACCCGCTGCGAGCCCTATGTATTGTCCTAGAGTTTTCATTTTCATTTTTCAAAGAGATTCCTTCAACAGTAATACTAATTTTTCGATTTTGATTGATGACATGCGTACAGTTAATCAAGTTGTTTATTTAGAGATTATAACCTTGTTTAATTCTGTTGTCCTATTGATTGGCATACTGGTATATGATGTTAGATAATGCTATGAACCTGAAAATATGCATATAATACGGTGCATGGTTTGATATGTATTTGTTGACAGGATTTCATTAATGCCACAGAATTCCTTACATCAGTTTATTTTTTTATCTAAGCTCTGCAAATTTGCCAATCATATTTAAATGCTTTTGACGCTTAACCTCAACATTTTGTTTAGTCCACTGCAGATGAATGACTTTTAATCGTTTTAAATCATTTTTCCATTGGCAGGTATAGATTCCATTCACAGATTAATTCTTATTATACTACTAGTGTAATCTGGAATCAAAAAAATATCAATTTTATTTTTCATTGTTTAAAAAATGAACCTCTTAATTTAAAAGGCGTACTTGCTCTTTCCTCTCTTGATTTGTGAAAATACTAAATTTTTTTCACTTTATGTGATGAAAACATTTTTTATATCTTTAAATAATTACGATGGCCGATATGGGCCGGACAAAAAGTAATCACGAGTTGTGTTCGATTTGCCGGCAATTCTTAGATGCTGGCAAAAAGTAACCACGAGTTGTGTTTGATTTGCCGGTAATTCTTAGATGCCGGCAAATCTTAGATACCGGCAATTCTTATTTAAAATAAAATTGCCAGAGGATATAGAGGTTTCAGAAGTCAAGTTATCTTAATTTGGCAAAGAGTTTGACAAAAACCAAAAACCGAAAACAACAACAAAGCAGTTTCACTCAACACGTGGCATTATTTATGACATATCAAAGCGAAGTCAAGATATTTAACCGGCTACAAAGCAGCCTCCCCGAAAATTCAAAGAAGTCTATAACGGGGGATGGGGGTTGGGATCAGGGGCTATTTCAACACTAGTCTGGGTTACGTTCACTGTCTTTAAACAGAATGTTTAAAAATCTGTATATAGGAAAATAAAACATTTCTTGTGTAATGTATATCGGGCCTCCTACGCAAATCGACAAGTGTAAACAAGTGTAAACTGCCCTTCATCCTCATTAAGTGGTTTTTCATAATCTTTGATTAGGATATGGTGGAGCCTAGAAAAAACGGACAATACAAATTCAGATATTTCCTGTACTCTCATGATCATCCTCACAAGTGTTTATGGTAATTTGGTAGTTAATGAACCAGGCAATTTTTTTAAACATCTGATCAATTTACTACATGTACTTGGGCCGTCAATCAACAGGCAGCGTGCACAGTGTTCATTAAGTATTTGAGGGAACACTAGCATTGTTATCAAAATAATTAACACAACTATTGAAGATCAAATAAAATATGTATTGGTATGAATTTTAAAAGATATTATACTTTTATGTGGAGTGCACAGGTCTGGAAACCCCTTAAACAATGTCTATATACGTCCCCCCCCCCCTCACTTCTCTCAGTATTCTTTTTTTTTCAACCCATTTGCCCTGTTAAGTTAACTTGACTTCTGTGACCTTGATATCCTCTGGCATTTAAATTCATATAAGAATTACTATTGCATGCACTGAAGATTTGCCGGCATCTAAGAATTGCCGGCAAATCAAACACAACTCGTGGTTACTTTTTGCCCGGCCCATATCGGCCATCGTAAATAATAGTTTAAAAAATAAAAGTTTGAATATTCTTTTTCTTGCTTAAGTGTAATCATTAATTTCCAGTTCCAAAATATAACGCCATCTTTAAACAACTTTGGTGGTAGAGGCTCATTATAATTATCTCTTAGCGTAGATATTTAACACTGTAATCAAAAGGTAAAATAAGTATGTGTACGATTATTCAACTGTTCTAAAAGATAAAAAAAAATATCAACTGGGGTCTTAATCACAGGGATAGTTTTGTCACATAATACCCTAGTATTTCACTCATATCACTTGATTGACTGCGTTCAAGTCAAAACATGATGACAATTAAGATTCAGTGTAAACTTTAGAGTACCCTTTTAAAGTCAATTTCCGAGAAAGATGACGTCTAATTTAAATTTTTTTTCTACGTGATAATGTATAATTCTGTTCCAAGATTATGTTTTGATGTGATACAGTTCATGCAATAGATGATATGAAAAACAAGATAATGATGTATGCACATGTATACCATAAATCACTTATTTTTGTGGGATAAAATTTCCGTGGTTTTAAGGAAAAAATATTGGTTAGATAGGATTTGATTTAGAATAGGACAAGAAAAGAATATAAGAATATAACCCCAAAGACATAATTTATTATGTCTTTGGGGTTATAAATTTGTTTGTCTTTTTATTCCTGGATAGCAGCGAAAATGAAAACCACATGAAGCATAGTGATTTTACTGTTTAGTAAACATCGCAAAAATCATTCTCATTATTTTTTGAAGTAAATTGACATCCATTCAGGCTATGATGCGCTTGTTTTAAACAATAACACTTCAACCATTTCAATGTATCAATTCGATCTTCAATTTGAATATGTGGATGGAAATGCTTTCCTACCAAATTATAATTCTTTAATGATGATATTTTATTGATCAAAGGAGATAACAGAAATGCATGTATTTATTCAAGGAACTTGAGACTGTAAATTACTGTGTGTTACCTCAAATCTCAATTAAGTCAACGTTTTTTAGACCACCCATCCTTTTATAGGAGTTCAATAATCGATTAACAACTTTTTTCATATATATCAAAGAACTCTTTGTATTCAAATTATACCGAAACTGAATAAAAACCTTAAATATATTACTAGATGAATACCAAAAAAAAAAGTAATAATAATTTACAGGTATCTGATGTCTTCGAAAATAATTATGAATCGTTTAAATGATATCTGATAAGAAATCATAGACTTCATCTCACGTTGGCTAAGTCTATCAGAACCGGAAGTGTTTAATTATATATTCTTTTAAAAAACTCAATATTAATGGAAGTTTAAATAAATAGTAATGAAAGTCAAACGATTATCTATGTAATGAAATATCTCTTATATACCATGAAAAGTACAAAAATAGTAATTCTAATTGCCATATTGCATGTTGTTAATTTCAATTGAGCAAACTTTGGACTGATCTTATCTGTATTTATTAGTAGTTTCTTAAATATCATAAGAATGGGAAATATTCTTAGATGTAGGATATTTCACACCGTAATCATAGATACAAAATATATTACTACAACAAACAAATAAACATTGGACTTTAAATCCGAAAAAAAATATGAGGATTAGATAATTCCTGACTTAGTTCTGGAATATTCGTCCATCTTGAGCTATAAGACAGATGGGAGTAAATCAGAATATGATAGTTACTTAGAATCTATTTTTATTAAATCAAATTAATAAATTCTAAATCTAGATAGAAAATACGGCAAGTTTGGTATGTTTTTCCGTAGATATGACTGGGAAGTGTCTGTGTGTGGAAGTAAATGCATTTGGCCTTTGGCCACCCTAACAAAATCGACTATAGTTAATTATAGTTTACTGTAGTACATACTTCAACACTTTGATACTTTGATTAACTCTGTTACTTCTAAACATTACAATAACACTTTAATTTACAATAAAACTTTACTCAAGAATGAAAGAAAATTAATTAAAACAATTTGAAATTCATTTAAAAAAAATCAGAACGACATCAAAAGATGCAATGTGTTTTATGGAAGTTCAAGATCTTTCTATCTACAAGTGCAATTCAAATAAAATTCGGATGAACCCGTAAAAAAACGGAAATTAGTAAATCATGATTTAATCGTAACTTAACTTCTTGAATATTTATGTTGTTTAACGAACATGACTCAAATAAGCAAAAGATTTCAAAAATTTATAGTTTCTTTAGAAGGTTGGTTAAAGAGGATTATCTAAAAATCTTGAAGACTTGCCTCTATATTTCTGTGATATTTTTCAATACATTCGAAGAACCGCCCAAAATGGTAATGCAACACCCATGTCATTCAACTGGCATAGCAGCCATTGGTTAAGACACACAGCTTTAAAATAGCCTTTGCGAATATTGATATAAAATTGAAAAAGAAACCACGAATGGGACTTGTGTAAATATTGTCTTCTAGAAACAGGATCATAATTTGAAATTACTAGAAATGCATCAAACTGACGTAAATCAAACCGGACATATTTCTCCATTGTGTAATGGAGCAATCTGGAACAGAAATATTGAAGAATATAGGGGAACAGGGGACTCCCAGCGTAGTGAAACTAGAGACTTACGTATAACAATCCCTCCTTCAAAGGAAAATGTTACCAAACAACCGTCTAAAAAGTCATCTTTTATGATAAGTGACATTTTATCTAAAGAGGATGAAAACAAAAGCAGTCCTTCAGGCGCTGGACCAATTTACAGAGACGGTCATGGCGAATCAATCCATTCACCTCATTCAGATCGGAGCTGTTCGCCCCAGAGTGGTAGGTTTTCTTTAATTTGCTATCATCTAATAAATATATGCATTTATTTTTTGGATTTAGATTGTGAAAGGTAAATGTTATGAGTTAGATAGCTTACAAAAGCCACATTACTGATGATTTATTTTCAATGTTATAATATATACCCTAACGTTTATTTTAAAACAAAATTAGTAAGCACATATATTTTTTTTTTCATTTTGATAAATAGATAAGGAATCAAAACCCGAATTTTTTGAAGGATCTGAAAAACATTGCAATACTTACGGGAGTATCAATTCATGCAAAATAAAGAAGCAACGAAAGGCAAGAACTGCTTTCACAGACCAACAGCTTAACAGCTTGGAGAAACATTTTGCCAGACAAAAATATCTTAGTGTTCAGGATAGGATGGAACTGGCTACGAAACTGGGCCTTTCAGATACTCAAGTTAAGACCTGGTATCAGAATCGAAGGTAAGCCAATTAAATATATTGAAGCAATAAAAAAATCTGTCGTAACCATTTTCAGATTTGTTTAATAAAGTTACTAAAATCAAAAAAAAAATGTCCAAGTCCCCACTAGTTATATTTATATAAATTTATGTTAAATTCTTTTTACACTTCGTATACTGTATAAGCATTGAGTAATGTAATTCCTTTCTTTTTATCAGAACAAAATGGAAGCGACAAACATCAGTTAGTCTAGAACTTCTAGCGGAAGCAGGAAGCATAGCTAATGCTCAACGGCTGATTGGGTCCTACATACATCCTTACCCAGAGCCTGCTCTGCAGATAACTGAATTTTACAGACAAAACTCACATCTAGTGATACCAAGGCCCGTGATTCCCCCGCTTTATAGCTACTGAGACTTTACAAAAGACATAAATTTTTCATGTATAATTTATATGGGGAAAAATTGTGTTACATCTAATTACAGATTATTAAAGTATTGTTTACTTGATTTATGTCATTAATTTTCATTTAATGAAGAACTTAATTGTTTTTTTTAAACAATGTTTGTTGATAATTAATACTTGCACTTGAAACAGCTCCAGTAAAAGCACGAGAGACTCTTCTATAGAATAGATAACATTCACATGTGTATAAGTACATATTATAATTATGTGTATTGGTAAATAACGAATATTTCTTACCCAAAACACATGATTCGAGTACCGATGGGAATTTCTTTAGAGGCTTTTCGAAATGTATTTTGTTATCAAACATCTAGAGAGTTGTCTGCAGGATAAACTAGGCGTCAGTATAAAATGAGGATGGCTCTAAAGATTTCAGATACACCTAACATTCGCCGAACCATCTAAACGAAGCCATTCTCCAGCTAGCGACAAAATATCAGTATTTAGCTTAGAACAAAAGTGCTGAAAAAGATAACAATCTATCACCAGCAATCTGATACACTGGGTGTACCTTTTGGGTCACATATTTTAAAAAGGTGTAAACTTGTTGCTTTAGCGGATATGTATTATATCGAAGAAGGCGTCTAAAGGCATCTGAAACCCGCCAATGGCGGGATATCATGCGTATAAACATCTTCATAGCTTCTTTGCTGTTTGTTTGTTTAGTTATCAATAGTTTAAAACCCGGTCATTTTTTTTTTTTTGGTGGTATACAAGTGCCAGATAATTTTGTTTGTTTGAAATAAAAACAAAAGAAAACTAAGCTCCCTTGACTGTAAATTGACCTGTATCATAGTAGCGAAACAGATAAAACAACAACTTCACCGGAAAGTATATATTGGAATTTCTTCCTCGTGAAAACATAAGATGAAGAATACTCTTTCTTTTTTTTTTTTTTTTTTTTTTTTTTTTGGTTTATGACGAAAACTCAACATGCTTAGAGCATAAAATTTGATCTATTTGCGACATGATTTAACTACATGATTTTCAAAAGTTCATAATCCCCGACCATTTTAATGTGTGCATGTGCCATCACATAATTCTTGCAGTGCTCTTTAACTTTAGTAATCCATGTGCCTCTGATACATTGACGTCTTTGAGACAATACCTATGATACATACTACATACCATTGTGGTTCTTAAAAAATATATCTTTGAATAAATATTTTCTCCAATTTTCAAAGACAATGCTTAGTTTACAAAGCAATATGACTTGGCATGGGTTGGGTTGAAAAATGACAATGACTTAAGATTCACTTCAACTCAATGATTGATTATACTAAGTACCATTTACTGACAGAAATAAATTAATATTACTTTAGTGAGTTAGATGACACGTCAACCTTTGCAATGATTTGTGCTGAAAATAAATTAAAGTATTTGAAGAGATAAGTGCATCTCTTTTTGCCAATCTTTTTGTTTGTTAATATTATCTGAGGAAGAACTGCATAGCTATCTAATTGGAAAACTAAATGTAGAAAAAAAAATTTCTATTAGACGGACGGTTATAACAATAGGAACAATGCATTGAATCGCAGATTTAAAAGATTACACGATAATATCTTGACATCTTAACTTGAAAAAGTAATTATCTTAACCACACAAAGCATTGTCTCTGCAAAGGTTGAATATTGAAACAAATATGTTCCATTTTAATTATATAATTGCTGCCATGAGTAATGAGCAAACGACAATTTGAACTATTGGTAGCAATTAATATAACAATTACCAAAATGTCGAAAGTTAAATTACTGAAAATATCAAGAAAGATGATCACCTTATTTTTAACACAACATAGAGATCATTAAGTGCGCCACGTAATCAACGATACTAACAAGATACCCTACATTTTCAGACGTCAAACCTTTTATACAACATGTATACAACCCTTTTTATTAATTTCTTTCGAATGTCTTTTTCTTATCTTTTGGACAGTTTTTGTCCAGAGCTTTGAATGCTAAGAACTTGTTACCTGAAGCAAATGATTTGTTAGGTCTTTATTGATATTAATGTAGAAATATTCAAAACCTATTTTATTTTGTTTTTGTCATTGTGCTTAATATCTAATGACACTTTGAAATAGATCACATAAAGCAAATGATCGTCGGATGGTTGATGAACGACTGAGCCTATTTACTTATCTATTGTGAATAATAATAAGTCATATTGAATTTCACATAAAATAAAATCGATCACCCATGAGCTAATTATCTACGGACTTTCTTCTCATAGTTGTAAGAGAATAGGGGTAATTTTCCGTTAAGTTTGTTCCTCAATTTTTCGCCTGTCGAAACTATAAATAATTACTTTTTACATGATATCCTATTGTTCGTAAATAAGTTTCATATTTATCGAATTAGTAAACTTAAAACCATCACGTCTTTTGAATTTGAGGAAAAAACATACTTTTATATCATTCATTACAAAAAAATATTTTAAAAAAGTAAATGTTTTACGATGAAAAAGTTGAAATCATCTCGTTTGTCATATAATTTAGTAGTTAGTTAGCCCTTATCATATATAGTCTGTAAAACATCCAAATCTGAAACAGATGTGGCAGACTCTGAGATGTCTTTTATTTCAAGTTCACTGGGTTATATCGAGTCAACATACAAATGCAAGAAATTATTGTTAATTTATATATATATATATATATATATATATATATATATATATATATATATATATATATATATATATATATATATATATATATATATATGAATGTCGAGTTTTAAGGCCATGGTATGTGCCTTCTTCTTCTCATGCTATCTTTAAAATAATATTGCCTTCTCCCGACCCAGGGTAAAAAAATTGAGTCGGTAGGTAGGTGGGAAAAACATTTCCCCAGAAAATTTCTATATTGCATTTTTTAAAATATATTGAAATAAAAGTTTAAAAACATATATCGTTTCCTGGAGGTTAAAAAACTTTTGAGTAGGACCATTTTAGCCAGTCGGTCGGGAGAGGGCAAACAAACAATATTTTAAAGATGACCTCATGTAGAATTTTTGTGTAAATTCATTTTCATTGGAATATAAAAAAAAGGTCGGCTAATAAAGGAGCATTATAAGTTCCCCATCGGAATTTCACTAGTTTGTTGGAAGACCTGGTCTCCAAGGACTACATAAAAGTTGTCAATGATCAACTCCAGCATCCTTTTAATAACAACTTCAGAGTATGTGTGTATAATTAGTGATATTTATCAAAGTAATTTTGTAGATGACCAATCACAAGATACGAAAATTTCCGAATTTCATTTTTATTGAAGAAAAAGTTGCTTTTGATATCAATAAGCCTAGTTTTCAACTTATCGTGAGGAATAGTTGTATAAATTGTAGAAAAATTATACGTTTCGTTGCTACTTTTGAAAAGTTTTTCGTTGTTTTTAGAATCCACGTTTGATTTACATCACTTCTAGAATAGGCTGTAGCACTGTAGCACAGTACGACTGACGTCTTTCCTTAACAGCAGTCAGTATTTTTGTGAGGAGTAAAGATACGGTCTGGTAGAGCATTTGCTGAACCAGGCAATGTGTCTTTTTTAAGTTTAAGAATCCAGTATTTATCACAGCTTAAAAAATCTTTTTTTCTTAATTTAAATTTTGCTCATTCATTAGCTGCATATGAAAAGAAAAGAAATAGGGAGTTAAAGAAAAGAAATAGAAATTTTAGAATTATTGACCCAATTTATATCAAATCAAACGTATCGTTATTTAGCATTTTTCAAAATCTTACCACCCGCAGTTTTGTTTCTCTTTCAGTTGTAGATAACAAAGCATGTTAAATGTGCTTTTTGATCCTTAGATGGAAGGATAAGTGTTTGAATATTTACGAACCTAATAATAGGAGTGTTTTCTCTTGATTAGTATCTGGGTTCTAAGCTGTCATTCTTTTTACAACTTTTCTTAAATCTTAAAACAATAGTTGTCTGTCAAAAAAATCAATTTTTTACTAGAGCTATCAAGCGTTTAATCGGTATTTGAGTTAACAGTGTCTTTATCTAATCAATATTGATTTCTTCCATTGATTACCGTGTTACAGTTCAGGTAATTAAAATCCACTTAACATGTCCTTAAGAAGACCTTTCCTTATCTTACCCTCCCTTAGAGTTTTTGATATCAGTTTATATCCCCCTTGCAATGAAATTCCAATATCAAATATTTATAATGGAAAATACACAACCATTAGTGTGAATTGTACTTTCACTTTATACTTCATACATGTATAATTCAAATCATACTGTATGTTATCATACAACTGGTATATTTTAAATAACTTAAATAAGGAATAAATAGTTGATTAGTAAACAAAAGGACAAGATAGGCTAAGACTCCTTTGGCCCCTGGTTTAGGATGCAATAGTTCATAATTGAAAAACGTGTTGACATCACTGTTTAAATAAGTAATGATTACACATGTAATTGATACAAAGAAGTCGCAGGAAGGTCGCAAAGTTTGCCAATTTTCAATTTTCTTATTTTGATTCTAATTCTAATTAGCCTATTTTGTTTCAGAAATCTACCAAATTTTCATGCACCAGTATCAGATACATCTTGCGTATGAAAATCTCAGATAGGTAAGTTTGTGCTCTGTGTTTTCTGAGATAAAAAATACATGTAATGCATTTCAAATATGATGAAATTTCATCAGAATTGAGGAAACTCTGTAAAATGTATTACTTTGTCACCTTTTTTTCCCTCTGTGTACGCTTCGAACCAAAAAATCAATGCTTGTTATAAAACAATTTTTTTAACTGCATACTATCACAAATTTAACTTTGTCTTTATTTATACCATATGAGAGGCCTTATTCGGCCGTTAGAATACCTTGCCGTTTATTTGTAAACATTATTATCATTCATTCTATATTTATAATGTACCTGTTTAATTTCCCTGAAGTAAATAGCATGAAATATGAAGATAACGAACACTATTCAATCTGAAATAAA